TTTTTGCGGAAAAGCGTCCATGGCCACTCTAGACGCGCTTTTGCACAAAAAAGCCCCAATCGCCATTTTTGCGATCGGGGCTTTTTTGCGGAAAACAAATCTCAGCTGTCTACACTGGCCATTTTGCGCAAAAGGGACTTTTGCCCGAACGGGAGCAGCATAGTATTTTCGCAAAAAGAACTGATTTCTTGCAGTAGGAAGTCAGTGCTTTTGCGGAAATTCAAGTGGCCAGTGTAGACAGCTGGCAAGTTTTTTCCAGAAAAGTGGCTGATTTTCCGGAAAAACTGGCCAGTCTAGCCACAGCCATGGCTGTGCCACTGTTTTACCACAAATTTGTAATGAAGGTTTGTGGTGTGTCCAGAGTAGCCCGTGCATCATATTAGCTACCATGAGTTAAGTGCAAATCAATTAATTTGAGTTAGTGAACCCCATTGCCTCTCATCTGTGTCTTGCAGTTTCTGACCTGGACACCGTGAATCCATGACATCATCAGCTCTCACACACTAAGCAGTATCTGGCAGGAAGCAGGGGATGCAGCCTGGACAGGGCATGTGCTATTTTACTGCTAGCTAAAACCTCCCTGCCAATGTTCTGATCAAAGGGAGTTTCCATTAGCTAGCAACTGAGTTATAAAACACTGGCAATGGGATGGCTACAGCAGACACGGACTTAGGCATGATGATAGCGTGAGGCAACTTTCTGAAGCTACACTCCACCTAGTGTTTGCCTTCACGGTCTCTTTGACAGCGAGCTGCTAGTGCAACAACATAGGCACTGGGGGTTACGTGGCAGAGCTTTTGTTCACTTGGGGTCCACTACACTACACTTCTCACTACACCTCATGAGATGCCATGACACTTAGGACGACAGATGCCATTTGCAACTCAGAGGCAGGTAACCCACAGTGACAGGATCAAACGGCCAGGGTCACATCTGACCCCGTTGGAGATTTAAAGGAACAGTGGACCCTCTTTCTGAAAGCTGTAGACTCCACAGGCTTTTCCCATGCCTCCAGAAAAGAGGATACAGCTTCCCCTAAATCCTCTGCAAATCATGTGACAGGCCACTAGCCTGTAACCCTTTCCTGGCTGTTTTACCCTCCAGAACCCACATAGGCCAACATAGCTTGCAAGAATCCATGAGACCCAGAAGAGCCCAGATTCATACAGCTCTAGCACAAACACAGACTCGCCTTTACTGTTCTCACACCTGCATGACACTGTAGCCCGCATTTTAGAAGCCACAACTCCTCTCACTCACCAGGATATTGACCCACTGGTGCAGGTGAGATTTGAAGGTGAAGGACTGACCCTTTCTCCCTTCTCTCTTCCCGTTTCTCCGCCAGCCCAGCCCATGGGCTCTGGAGACGAGAAGCAGACCCGGGTGTTCCCGAGCGCTGCAACAGAAAGTTCCAACTGCTGCTCCTGATCTCTGCTAGATACCCCCTGCTTCCCTGTGCAGGAACCCAGCCAGAGATTGTGTCCATTTCTCCCCACCCCACCTTCCGCTAGGACAGGAGGAGCTCAGGACCACCAAGACCCTGAGTGCCTGTGATGCACCTGTCGCCATCCTTGGTTTTTAACTTACGAACTGTGAGTAGGCCTGTGGGATTCTTGAGGGTCACTATAATAAACCTGTGCTTGCCTGTATCAAGTATCTGTGGTTCTAGCTATCAGTTTGGGGATGTTGTACAATAATAAAGTCCTTCTGGGATTTGCTTAATGCCTCCACATGCTGAGTGATGCCTCCTCACCACTACGCCATGCCTAGGTGGTGTCAACACAATCAGAACACCAAGGAGTTGTTCCTGAAAGCACTCAGAACCAAGATCCCCCAGGGATATCAAGCAGAGCACCTGGAAGCCAGAATGCTAATGCTGTTGCTATTTCATTTGCTGTTGCACTGTATAGGGAGAGCGTATCTGTATAGTACCTTTCAAATGTTCCCTTACCTTTCCCGTGTATTGTACAGCACCTTTCAAATTTTGAATGGGGGCTTTGAAATCAGAGCCCCTTAGAAATCATTGCTAGGGAATCATGGGACTCAGTTTGTATGCACAGCGAGATGCTGCCCATTTGATTATTTCAGTTTGGGCACCATAACTCACTGGCCACATATCTGCCTCCTGGAATGTGCCCCTGGGTAGCTGCTGAAACATAAATCTACCAGGAGCTGGGGAAGGCAGGACAATGAACCATTAAAAATCCCTTAAATGTTCTCAGGGTTCTCAGAAAGGGACAGATTCCACCCTTAGATACGCTCTCCCAATTCCGGTTGCCTTCAGTGGAGGCTGCACATGACTCTGAGAGCAAAACCTGACAGTGACATTAGTTCTTAAAGTGCCTTTTCTCCTCCCATTGCCATGAAACACCACTAGGCATAGGTGTGCCCAGTCAACCTGTAGAACTCCTTGCCAGAGGATGTTGTGAAGACTAGGACTTTAACAGAGTTCAAAAAGGAAGTAGGTAAATTGATGGAGGATAGGTCCACCAATATTTATTATCCAGGATGGGTAGGAATGGTGTCTCTGGTCTCTGTTTGTGAGAAGCTGGGAATGGGAGAGAGGGAAGGGATCGATTGATGATTACTTGTTCTGTTTACTCCCTCTGGGGCATCTAGCATTCGCCAGGATACTGGGCTAAATGGACTTTTGGTCTGACTCGGTATGACCATTCTTACGTTCTTGTATTCTGATCCTTCCCTTACAGTAGGCTGAGCTTAGATGGTGTCCAGATGAGAGACCTCCAATGAGGGCTGGTTTTTATTTCAGGAACGGCAATCTGTCTGTACTGAACAAACACACGCTGAACAGCACGGGAACTCGATACTACATGAAGTGGCACCTTACAGCTAGGACATAAAACCAAGATCCTGGCTTTGTGTGGTCAGTAGTGACTCTATAACACGCTTCTGAGGGCCAAGTTCCAAGCTAAGAGCTTGACCCAAGGCAAAATTCAAGGAGGGATGGGACACTTATATGGATCAAAGACGACCTAAAGTTATGACGATAAACAGTTTGGAAGGGATATTACATGCATGCTTCATAGCTTAAACAAATGTCTTTTAGAGATCACGATGAGACCCAAGTAGGGGGAGATTATATTGTGGGGTCTTACACCTGCCTCTGAAACATCTGATATTGGCCAAAGGTCAGAGTCAGAATCCCGGATCCAGGCTGGCAGTTCCTATGTGGCTGTGTGCAGAGGAGGGTGTGGTGTGCCAGTGAGTCCAGTGAGGAGATACAGCTGCTGAGAGGCAGCATGCACACGGAAGGCATCAAACATGGATGGTGAGGAAAAGTGCAAGACACGGAGCACAACTCCCTTAGCCCGCTGCCTTTCGACAGGTGCACACTCCAGGAGGGAGGGGGTTGGGGCATGGAGACAGAGGGTGCTGGGCCCTAATCCAAAGCATGTACATGAATAGCTCAGCAGCCATTGGCTCCCCGCACGTATCAGGAGCCTGCGTGTAACTTTGAAGGCTAACTGAAGAGCCCAGGCGCGTTGGCTAACCTTGCACATGGTTACACTTCCACACCCCTAACATACACCAGTCCTATTTTTCCTAGCACTTTGCCCTCTGCTTCCACTCCGGGTTGGAAGCCAAGTGATTATGTGGTGTCCAACTCCCTTCCTCATGCATGTCTAGCATGGGTGGTCGTTGAAGGTAAGGCTGGGGGGAGGCAAGTTCCCAGCCTCACCTCCAGCCCTGCCCCTTCTGCTGAGGCCCCGCCTCCCACGGGAACCAAGCCGCCTCCCCACCCCATGGGAAGGGGAGGAGGATACGTGGGTGCGCACGCCCCAGCTTCCCTGGCCCCAGAACATGGGAAGGGTGGGTGGGCACGCATCCCCAGCCTCCCCGGCCAGGAGCACTGGGAAAGCAGGCACCGGAGGTAGCAACACTCTGCCCCTGGAATGCCTACAGTAGGCATTCTGGGGCCAGAGCATGGGTAGAGCCAGGCTGGTGGGTTGGGAAGGTTGTGCCTTTCCCTAGCTACCATACTGGCCGCCCATGACATCTCTCTGTCCTTACTTCCTGTTCTACACCACTGGGTAGGGTCGCTATGCACTCAAACAGCTGCCATATTCCACCCTGTCCTGCCCATCAGTGTCAAGCCCTCTGACTGAGATACCTGAGTAGAAAGGTGACATAGAAGTACAAAGCACTATACATTATCCAGAGCAAAAGCACAGCGCCATTAGACCCTATGTACTGTGATTAGCTAAACATTTCCCTTTCTTTCCCATGTGGCTTTAACAGATTTCCTCGACTGGTGCTCCAATTAGTATCCCACTCTGAAAAAACAGAGCCACTGCCTTTATTTTGTCCTCCAGCTGCTATTTTTGGCCTGCATGTTTCTATTTATAGATGATCACTGAACCAACACCTTGGGCAGTGGATATAAAATGTTACAAGTGCCTAACGGAAAACCTGGATTATCTCAATACTAATCAAGGCATTTTTAATAGCTGCTGCCTTGTTTCTGTGGCGCATTGAAAAACATTTTAACAGCATAACGAAGAAGATCACTGTTTTCTGAACATCAGGCCTGCAAAGCTGTACTCATTCAAGGAGTCCTTATTCACCCAATCACGAGCCTTTGATGCCACAGCTAAAAGATGTACGGCAGCAGTAGGATTATCCATCTCTAGCTGCCACTAGAAGGGGACAGAGTTCCAGGTCAAGGATCTAAAGGCAGCTTCTACAGCTGCAGGGAGACCTGTCATAGGCCACCTTGGAAGCTCCCCTCTCTCCCATCACATCTGTTGGTACTAGACATGTGGGTGGAGAGGACCCTGTGACCCAGCATCCTGGAGCCCTGTGGTCAGGTCCATAGAGGAGCAAGTGAAAAGACTACATGGAATAATTTAGTCCTTATGGAGTGGGGGTGCTGAGAGGCACGCAGAGAGGGGGACAGCAATGTAAAGGGCCTGAATACACTTTTACCCCCTAACACCAAGACGACAGGCCTCCATGGCACTGCAGTTATTTCAACGTACCTTCCAGGTGAAGCCACATTAGCCTTCCTTTGACTGAGGTGATTGAAGCAACACATATTTCAGCAGGGTTCCTGGGGTTCACAGCCTCCAGCTTCATGTTCTTAGTAAAACCCCGGCTGAAGGACGTCTGAAAAAGGCCAAGAGTCAAGACTGAACATGGTGCAGCACAAAACAGCTTTAGACAGACTCTCCTCACCCTTGTATGGAGAACACAGGAGATGTCTAGGACCACCTAGGCCAAGAACTCACCAAGATTCGAAAAGGGTGTGGGTATTTAGATGGGTATAAGGAATATCCAGAGTTATCAAAATGACCAATTCTGGAAGAGATATTCAAGCTTCAGGGCTTTCAGCCAAAGTTTGACTGTCAGAGACCAGGATGAGATGTAGGTGGCGGAGGCAAATTATCTCTCATCCAGCTACTGAGGGTCTCTACACTTTCCTCTCCAGCATCTAGTGCTGGCCACTCTCAGAGACAGTATATTGGACTGGAGGGACTTTGGGTCTGATCCAGTCTGGCAGCTCCTGTGTTCCCAGAGCCGAATTTCCAGAACAAGCCTTCCATCTGTGTGTACAAAATGGATAATTGTGTGCCGATTTACTGACAGAATTCCCCAGTTTGACTGTGAGTTTGTCAGCAAGAACAATTTGTGTGAATCTACACAGGGCCGGATTAAGACCTGTAGAGGCCCTTAGCACTGAAAAGATTATGGTGCCTCCCCCCCCCCATATGTAATTCAAAATAAAAACAATACTATACTGTAAAATCTCTCTCTCTTTTTTTTTTTTTTTTTTTGTTCCCTTGTAAGCACATACTTAGTCTGCCTGTTGGGTAATCCAGCCCTGGATCTACAGTTTGTAACTGCACTTTCTGTTTGAAACAGGATGAGATCAAAGCCTACTAGCAGTCTGCTAATGTGTTTCAGCCAGGTCCATGTGGACAGTTAATACACAATAGGCTACTGCACGGTAGATTCACAACACACTTGCCACAACCCTCTTGTAGATGCTCCTGGAACTTCTGGAGCTTGGAGCATGAGCCTCTACCGCAGGAGCTAAAAGCCAGCTGGATGGTAACTAAGGCTGTAGAGCAGACTCATTGTACTTTCTTGCTGTAAGTGGTCTCAGTGTCACTAAGTGGGACAGTGAATGATATCCAGCAGGTGTGTGGGTTACACAGACAAGCCCTTAGTCAGTAAAGAGGGCCACATGCTCAGTGGGTAGAAAAGCACATAGCTCCCTTAACTTGAATACAGGTCGACTTCATGTAAAGTGAGGAGTTCTGCTGATGTACATCAGATAAGCATCTAGCCATGAGCTGTAAGGGCTCATCCATAGCACAAAGCTCTGAGAATATGGCCCTTAGCCATTTTTCAGCCTTTCGAGAATAAGCTTGTATTTGTCAATTACTACCAAGATCGATCTTTGTGTATAATGAAGGGTTCGTTTAGCCAGAGGGATATAGTGCATTTGAAGATTTTATTTTACATGTCCAGTGCTTTATTATGGGGCTGGGGGCTGGCAGCCCTGCCGATTATTAATTATTAACACTTCCATTGGAGGACTCTGTTTTCAAGTTGTTTATAACTTTGCCAGATTTTAACTGCTTGGGCTGAAATTTTCCATATTGGGTCTCTGCATCGTGCTGAAGAGTTTGGAAAATTTCAGCCAAAATGTTTCTTGTTTCTCAGAACAAGACTAGGGAAAAAATGGTGGTTTGCCCATATTAAAAAATTCTGGTGGTTTCATCTTTGGTAAACACCAGCTGCTCAATGATTTGGAGCAGGAAGTTGAAATTTAGCAGGTGGATCACCTTTGTATCAAGGATGTGCCTTTTGCCACCCCTGTAAAAAACTTGCCCCAATTTAGCCAACTAATAAACCTTTGAAAATCCACAATGAGCACATGCTCAATTTTGACCTTTGTCTCGTAGGCCTTGTCAACACTTACTGAGAGATTGGCTCTACGATGATTGATTCCCCCGGGTCGATTTATCAGATCTAGTAAAGACCTGCTGTATCTGATCATGCTCTCATCCTCCCCAGGACTCCACCGAATCAAGAAAGATAAGGGGAGAAATACCGAGGAAACTCAATCTAAGGTACATCCACTCCAGCTACTCTATTCACATAGCTGGAGTTGCATACTTTAGATCGACATAGCCCCCTAGTGTAGAGCTGACTTTAGTGTCTATGTTTTCCCACCTGTAAAATGGGAATAATACCCACTCATTCATGGGGTTATTATAAAAATAAATCCAAGAATGAAGCATTTATATACTATAGTGATGCAGACAATAGAAAGACCATGGGGAAATTAATCATTCTGTCTTCAGATCTGGGCATAAATTGTGTGCAATAAATAACAAATGGGGGCTAACACATTGAACAATAGGTAAATAGTAGCTCATTAAGTGATCACCATCCATCTGGTGTGCTAGACCACGCAGGGGTCCCATGGAAAGAAATAGGATCTGTTATCAAAGAATATATCATCCATATGCACAAGGGGGTGACTTAAGGCTGCCTGGGCAACCTGGATTCTGGAATTTCCTCACTTTTGGGTGCTTAACATTGAAACCTGATGTGTGTTTTTTTTAACCCAGGGGTTTGTGTATAATTTTGACTTCAACAGATAAAAGATACTGAATCAAGGAGCTCACACCCCAATTTCTGAGTGCCCCCTTTGCGCCAGATCCTTAGCTGGTGTGAAAGAGTTCAGCACTGTGATAGATGTCTGCTTCAGTGGAAATTTGCCCCTTTACACCAGCTGAGGGGCTGGTCCTTCAGGGTTTTGTGAGGCACTCATACACCATAACGGTGGGGAGCCATATGACACCTTAGCTCGGGAGACAGGCATGTGGGCAGAAAATTAAAATCGCAGTTTGTAACAACATACATTCACCAATCCCCCTCCCCCACCCCAACAAAAAACCAGCCACTCACTGACAGAACAAAGAGGTTTCCCACTTTCCCACAGAAGCCCCAGGACCCTATAAAACCTCCTCAGCCCCCAAAGTCACGTGTCAGCCCTTCCTAAATGCCCCGCTGACACCCTCCTAACTAGGCCCTACTTCCTCCAAGCGAACTATGGAATCAACCTGCCGTTTGCCTCTGTCACACTGTTCACTCTACTTATCCTCCAAGTGAACTATGGAATCAACCTGACGTTTGCCTCTGTCACACTGTTCACTCTACTTATGTGTTATACTCCTTTTCTCTATAATGTATCTGTCTTATCTATGTAGACTGGCTGCTATTCTGGGCTTACATAGCACCTCCTACCATGGCGCCTCGATCTTGGCTGGTCCCTACTCATCACCATGATTATAAGAACAGTCCTTAATTCAAGAGAATCTGGCACCTCTTACACATGAGCATAAGCTAATGACTTCCATCTTGACTAGGAAAGTTGGACACCGTTTGATCAAGCTTAATCAATACATGCTAAGACACCCAAGGTAAAGGCAACCCTTTCTCCTTCACAAGACAGAGCCAATGAGGGTCAGTCCAATACGTGCTAAGACACCCAAGATAAAGGCAACCCCTTTTCCTTCACAAGACAGAGCCAATGAGGGTCAGTGTTAACTTCCCTGGGGCTACTTGTCTGATAAAGACTGCAGGATGAGTCAGCCTTTATTTCATTAAGATTTCTTGCAAAAATGAAAAAAAAACAATTGCACACAGGAGCTATTTCCATGCTATCCTTATTGCTTGGACTATTCAGAGCCATACCCCATATTCAGACAAGCGTCCTGCTTCTAAACACAGCGAATGGTCCAGGTTTACGAGTTGTCAGAGTGAGTTTGTGGAAATGCTTTTTATGCCAGCTAACAAGGAAACAGCATCTATCACCACTCAGGTTCTATTTGTTGTGATGCAGCGCCAGAGGCTAATTCATAAGGAATCAATGGCAAAACAGTTTGCTGGGAGTTTATTTTACTAAGCATTTGGCTATGCCGATCCATTTCATCACTGCCTCTCCTTGCTAAATAGCCCCAAGGGAAATGGTTACAATGTATCCACTTCCCAGCCATGTCTCCTTGTGCGAGGTGGAAGATGTGCGATTAAAAAAAGCCAACAGGTTCGTAATAAAAATTCCCTCAAAGGGCCGCTCTTAGCATGGGAATGAATGGCTTGACCGGGTAGGGATGTCAGGCAGACGACAATGGAGAGATGGCAGCTCTCTATGGAGAACTGTTTTATCAGGTGTCAAATAATAACAAGACACGCGTTTGCACAATGAATGCTAAAAAAAAAAGTTATTAGAACAGATGTAATCTTTGGAGGCCGATCTCGGGGCAGCTGGCATTGTGAGCACAGCTTCAGTGCCTAATGAAAAGAAAAAAATAAAGGAAAGGCAAATAAAAGGAAGGAAAGAAAGAAGCAAGCAGAAAGGAAATGTGACAATCATCACCAAGATCATTTATTTGAATGTTATCATATCCCTGTCTCCCACTCTCCATTAGTTCCTGAGTTTTATTTATAAATTCTTCCAAGCAGGGCTTTTCTTCCTTACATGGTGGTACAATGCAGGGCATGGTGTGGATTCCCAATTCCTGGTGTGAGACATGATCCAAAGCCCCCTGATGTCTTTCCATTGGCTTCTGTGGGGTTTGGATCTAGCTTTGGGACCTCTGAGCTCTGCCATAATAAGAAAGAAAGAAGGATGGATCACCTAGAGGGAATTCGAACATGAACATCAGAGGCCCTTTAAATTCAGCCACGCTGCGGGCACAGAAAAGGCTACCTGTGCAAAGGGTGACGTAAGGTTACAGAGCCTGATCGTACAGCAGCCGTTCAACGAGACGGAAGTTGCAGTGCAAACTCAGGGAAAGCCGCAATGTGCATGAAACAGAAGCAGCCTCACGCTGCTCCTGGATGCGCTGTGCCATGGCTAGCAGTGCCCATTGCCAGCACACACCATGCCAATCGTGGGAAAAGAAGCAGGATGGAGAACACAAGCCAGCAGGGGTGGCCAAGGGGACCCTGGCCACGTTATAGGCTCCTCAGTGAAACACTTGTGTTGTGGCCCAGTTCCAAGCGTCACAGCAGTCCATGGTGGGGGGGAGAGGGAACTGCAGAGAGGCTGCCCAGAGGAACCCATGCTCACCATGTGCTTTGCTACACAATGATTCTCTCCAGCATAGCAGTGCCAGGGAGTGAACGAGGGCGGGGCGGAGGGAGGGGGAATAGCCTATGCATCCCCTGCCAGAAAGATCCGCAGCCCTAAGTACCACATACAGGTGTCACGGTGTCAAATGCTCTTCAGAGCCCATGCCCTGGAGTGGAGCTGCTGCCCAAACAAAAATCTACCGCTTCATCTCCCCTAAGATCCCAGGCCCAGAGCCCACTGACTCAAGCAGTGCACAAGCGCAGGCCACCCCTGACCCCACGTGGGTAGAGAACGAGGCATGAGCAGGGCCAAATGGCGCAGCGATCGAGCAGTTCAGTCCCACGAACCACTGCCAGAAAGTGACCACGCGGAATCAGCTGCCTGCCTAATTGAAATAATGTACTCTTTTGTACAGACTCCAAGGACCTGTGGGCCTGAATTGTGGATGGGCTCCATGCGCAGGTGAAGAAGGCACTTTTCTCCTCATAGGGACACCATGCAAGAAGAGCGCTGAACATGAAAAAGGCAGAAGGTTAATGCTTTGTTTAATGAGTGCAAGACTCTGATGCCATTAAAGGCTCATGCATGCACAGCTCCATTCCTCTGCCTAACACCTGGCCAGCTAAGCATCGTTTCCAAAGCATTAAAGCTTTGATGAACTTGAGATGTAATGACTGATCACACCCTCACATGCAGCTCCTGCTGTATGAGGGAACCTCAAACTCTCCCAAATGATGGAGCTTCCACCTGGCTCAATCAATGTTCTACTTACACCTCGAAGATATCCCTTAAGCCTTATCTGCACTAATACCCCTCCCCCCCACCGCCAATGTAACCTACGCCACTTCAGCTATGCAAATAGCGGAACTGAGGTCGACATACTTTTCATAGTGTCTTCCACATGGTAAGGTTGGTGGGAGCTGCTCTCCTATCGACTCCAGCTACTCTTCTCATCCTGGTAGAGTACCGTAGTCAAAAGGAGAGTACTCAGAGATCCATTTATTGTGTCTAAGCAGACCCGATAAATCAAACGAAGGTAAATCGAGCACTGCAGCATTGATCCGCTGCATAGTGGAAACAAGGCTTAACCCTTTAGTTCACTGGTCTGGTTAAAAATAAAACCCAGAACCAAGAGAAACACTCCAATGAGCAAATCAGTCTCATGAAGTCAATGGGAGCCTTTCCATTGATCTTAATGAGCTTTGACAGAATTATTGTTTGAATCACGGTAGCAGTTCCAGTCCTCAGCCAAGATCACGGTCCATCGTGCTGGGCACTATGCAAACATAATAAGAGTCCCAAAGAGCATGCAATCTCAATAAGCAAGACAGACAAAGTATTACTGAACCCATTTCGTAGATGGGGAAACTGAGGCACAGTGAGGTTACGTGAGTTGCTTAGGCTCAGACAGAAAGCCTGTGGCAGAGCTAAAGACTGAAGCCAGGGCTCCTGTCTCTTAGTCCAGTGCTTTAACCACAAGAACATGCTTCCTCCCAGAAAGCTTTGGATCAGTCTGGTAGTTCAGAACAATAAGTGGGTTTGTTCAGCTTACGTCAACAATACCACCACAAAGGGAGAAAGAATAGAGCTTACATTTCTAAAGCAAAAGTGAGGCGCTGCCTCTGCTCCACATTGCTTCTGATAATCTGCCCAGTCAAAGTCCTGGCCAGAGTAACCTGGAGGGAA